TACTTGTAATCGTAAGGCACACATGGCTGCGGATAAGGCCTCACATCGAATTGTGTGACATACGTGATTAGAATGTAAGTTTATATATCACTTCTAAAAGTCTCTTGTGTTGGTGGGAATGCAAACTGGTACAGCCACGTTGGAAAACAGTATGGAGATTCCTCAAAAAGTTAAAAATAGCACTACCCTATGACCCAACAATTGCACTACTAGGGATTTACCCAAAGGATACAAAAATACTGATTCAAAGGGATACCGGCACCCCCATGTTTATAGCAGCATTATTAACAAGAGCCACATTATGGAAAAGGCCCAAATGTCCATCAACTAATGAATGGATAAAGAAGATGTATACAATGGAATATTATTCGGCCATTGAAAAGAATGAAATCTTGCCATGATGTGGATGGAAACAAAACAAGTCAGAGAAGACAAATACCATATGATTTCACTTATATGTGAAATTTAAGAAACAAAACAGATGAACATAGGGGATAAAAAGAGAGAAGAGAGAGAGAGAGAGGGAGAGGCAAACCAGAAAACAGACTCTTGACAATAGGGAACAAACAGGGTTACTGGAGGGAGGTGGTGGGGGGACGGGCTAAATGGGTGATGGGGATTAAGTAGGGCACTTGTGAGCACTGGGTATTATATGTAAGTGATGAATCACTAGGTTCTAAACCTAAAACTAATGTTACACTGTACGTTAACTAACTGGAATTTAAATAGAAACTTGAAAAAAGGTCTCGTGTTAAAATTAGAGAATTTGGAAAGACTGTTATCCCTATACTTGGAATGAGAACATTTGGGTGGATTCAGATGAATCTGAGAACTTGTAATTCTAATCCTTCTGAGCTACCCTTGTCAGTGGAAACAACTCCTCCTCTTCATCTCTCTGAGAAAACAAGTCTTTTCTTGCTTAAAGACTCCATAAAGATCTCACCCAAGATGATTTATAAGGTGATGCCTATTCTCATTGCCTGAAGACCTTTACCTAGAGTCAGAAACATCATGCCTCAGGGAGGGAAATCAAGGTCTGCTCCAGTAGGAGATAGGTACATTAAAAGAATTTCAAGCTCTTGCTAATTTGTGTTAGTAGGGAAACACATGTGAGAATGGATTTTAATGATATTAGATTGAGATGAATGGAATATAATATTGGATTGAGCTGAAGTTCTGAAGTTATTGAAACAGGTACATTTACCTGATATTCTGGATTTAATATGTTGTCCTAGTCAGCTGTAAGTGGTTCTAAAAGTTTTCTTGGCTGTTAACTAAAATTTGAATTCAGTGGTAGCCTACAATCAATGAGGTTAAGATGTCATAGCTTTTCTGGCATGACGTAGAAGAAATCCAAATGTTTAGGGAGACAGAAATGCTGAAGTGAATTTATCGTGTTCACACCATTTGCCTTCCCCCTAACTATGTTCCAGGGGGCGGGGTGGGGGGAGGACTTAGGACTCTCTCTTTCACTAAGTCATTGAGAAATGAATCAGTGTGGGGGAAATGGATTCTCAGATTTCAATAAGAACTATGGGATTTACATTATTGGGGAAACCCTAGCCCTGGTGAGCAGAAACCTGACTTGAATTGTCACAGTAACAAGTTATGGTATCTCATCATGTTCCCATACCTAAGTCAGTTTATAGACCTGGAGTCTCTTGACTGAAGAGGAGTCTATGTCACCTCAAGGGAGGACCTGTGGTCACTTAGTAGGATGACTGTGTCCTTGGAGGAAAATGCAGAATGGACACTAGCTCTGAGCTGACAATTTCTAGAGGCTAGAAATAGCATCATGATCTACTAAACAGAGGCTTATGGAGAATAGGGGATAAATTAAATTCTACCCTGAGTTTATCTCACAGTGGTCCCATCATATAAAAGAGCCACTCTGTGGTTTCTGAATTCCTGAATTCATGGTTGAAAAATATATATTCAGCAACTAGTAGAATACTTACATCAGTCTTTGACTCATGGTATAAGGATGAACATGGTAAGAAGGGTCAAATTGAACCCAATGGAAAAGGCTCTCCTACTAAAGTAGTAAATCAGAAGTTATATAATAATAACAGCTCCCTGTGGCAATTGTAAAGATTAGTGCTGCCATTAAAAACTCCAACACTGCAGGTTGTCGATTCCTATTACACCCTTGTTTAATATCTAATGATATTAGATGAAGCTGAATGGAATATAATATTGGATTGAACTGAGGTTCTGAAGTTATTGAAGCAGGTATGCTTCCCTGAGATTTGTTAATATCCTTGCTTGTTTGGCCAGCATTAAAGATGGAGACATTTGCAGTCTGCCTGGCAATCACCATAAAGTTTATCAAGTGGTGACTCCAACTACAGCTACTGCTCTGGTGTTGTATCTTTGCTAGAGCAGTCCCTGGTATTTGGTCTGCAGGTGACAGATGCTTTTCCTTATACCAGTTAGTATGGATTATCCAAAGCAGTTTGCTTTTACCTGACAGACGTCAGTAAATCTCAGAGTTACACAAACTTCTGCGTTGTCATAATGTAATCCACAGCGCCCTTGACCACCCAGACATCTTACAGACTACCGTTGTTCACGCCGTGCTGAGCATTTTGAGCAGAAAGGAGCAAGAATCCCAGATGTCATGCTAATACAAATGTATGCCAGGAGGTGGAAGAAAAATTCAGGGGGCTGACACATCAGTGACATTTCTGCGGAGCATGTAGGGTTATTGGCTCTAGGCAGTTCCTGCACCTTGCACTATTTACCAGCAAATCAGAGTATGCATAAAGCTCAGAGGGACTTTTTGGACATAGGAGACAACATATATTGTACATGAGTGCCACTCTGACCTGTGTGTTGAGAAACCAATTTGAGGGAGACCCAGAACAAGACAAGGCTCTGTGTAAGACAGTCCACAGAGCAAGGATCTGTGCCCCTTAGCCCGTTAAAGTGGCAGGTATAGATACTAAATAGAGCACTTTTCATAGCCAGGTAGAGAATGAATACTGGACACATGGGATTCTAAATTTACTTGAACTATGACTTCTCCTACACACCATGAACTTAATGCTTTCTGATCCAACAAGCTAAAAGCTTGGATATATGCAGCTGTAATCCATTATCAGTGGAAGTCATTTCTATGAGATTGGACTTGCTGATTGAAAAATTGGTGACAAGAGGGCGCCTGGGTGGCTCAGTTGGTTGGGCGACTGCCTTCGGCTCGGGTCATGATCCTGGGGTCCCGGGATCGAGTCCCGCGTCGGGCTCCCTGCTTGGCGGGGAGTCTGCTTCTCCCTCTGACCCTTCCCCCTCTCGTGCTCTCTCTCTCTATCTCATTCTCTCTCAAATAAATAAATAAAAAATCTTTAAAAAAAAAAGAGAGAAAGAAAAATTGGTGACAAGAATGTCTGAGGTCCTTTATGGGCTTCTGAAATAGGTACAGAGTGTAAGGATGTGCGTGTCCCATGAAAATACTCACCAAAGAGCAATCTTAGTAGAGGAGGCTCTTAGTAATCAAGTAGAGAAAAACTTCTTTGATGTCAGCCAGCCTCTTTTTGCGGCCACCACAGTGCTTTCTTGATGACCCATGTACAAAGTGGCCTTGGTGGCAGGGATGGAGGCTATCTGGTGGCTCAGTAAGATAGACTTTCCTCTCATCAGTGATGATTTGACTTTCTCTGCTGCTAAAGGCACAACCACCCAACAGCAGAGGCCATCCTGAGTGCATCGTATGACTCTTTTCTTCTGAGGGACTGTCTGGCCGCTGGTGGCATATTGATTACCTTGGATCTTTTCCATCAGGGAAGGAGAAGAGATTTGTCCCCAAACAAATATATTCTGGGTACAGATATACCTTTCTTTTCCATAGTGCCTCTGTGAGCACCACCACTTGTAGACTTACGGAATGTTTTATTCATTGCCTCTGACAAGGAGATAGATTTTATTGTCAAGTAAGTGTTCCTATCCATGGAATTCACTGGTCTTACCATGTAACTCATGATGCAGAAGCAGCTAACTTTATGAAATGGCCTAAAGAAGACTCAGTTACAGTATCAGCTATAAGACAACATTTGGTGACATTGGGGTGCTGTCCTAAAGGTATGGGATATATCTTAAAATAGTGGTCGCTATATCATATTGTCTTCCTCAAAGCCAGAATGCATAGATCCTGGAACTAGGAAGTAGAGATGTGAGGCTTTCTTTTACAATCACACCAAATAATCTACCGAAGCAATATTCACTTCCTTCTCTGCAACCCTGGGCTCAGTGAGTTTGGAGGTCCTAGTGCACTAGGAAATAAAGTGATGGTCCTGTTGAATTAGGATCTGAGATTTTCCCTGGCCATTTTGCCTTCTCATCATGCTGAATCAACAGCCAGGGAAGGGGTCTCTGTACTGGATAAGGGAACTTATCACAATTATCAAGATGAAAGCAGGCTGCTATTACACAATAGTAGAATGAGGGCTGTATTTAGAATTCAAGGTGTTCCCTGGGAGCCTCTTAAACTACTTTATCCAACAGTCCTTGTTAGGGGAAAACCATGGCAATCCAATGAATAAAGACCCACTAAAGACTCAGATCCCACAGAGAAAATGTGTATGTCATCTCACTAGTAAAGAACCCTGTTCAGCTGACCTTCTAGCAGAGGGTGAGGAACATAAAACTGGTGGTGGAAGAAAGAAGTGATCAATATGAACTTGACTTTAGAACTGGCTACAAGGGGCGCCTGGGTGGCTCAGTTGGTTAAGCGACTGCCTTCACAGGGAGCCTGCTTCTCCCTCCGACCCTCCCCCCTCTCATGCTCTCTCTCATTCTCTCTGTCTCAAATAAATAAATAAAATCTTAAAAAAAAAAAAAAAAGAACTGGCTACAGGAATGAGGACTATAGCAGGCATGTATATTTATATTATAAACATAAGTCTGTGTGTATATATATATATGATATATATATAGCTTTTTATATGCTAACCAATTATTTTCCTTTTTTCCTTCTCCTCCTACTTTTTTTTTTTTTTTTTAAGGAGGAGTGTTAGTTATTCTTTTCTTTACAATTTAGATCAGAGTTCATCAAACTGAAGAGCCACATACAGTCCTGAGGGAGAGGACCTCATATCATCTTTGGTTCCTGGACATGATGAGGGAAACGATGTCGGGTGGTACTTTGTGTTTCACCCTTTTGGGAAGAAAGTGATTATTTATACAAAAGTTGGTTGAATTCTGCGAGGTAGAAACATGACATTGTTTTATGGGAGTTAGGCATGGGTGGAAGGAGGAGTATGGATGCTTCGTGGCAAAATGGGTGAACTGTGGTAGCCATTTGTCTGTTTACTGTCAGATTTCTCTCTCATTTTTCCTGCGCTCTGCTCAGTATGGCAGGGACCTGTGTCTCCCAGACTCCCTTGCATCTGACTAGTGGATAGCACTGGACAGTGGAAAACAGGAAGACAGGATAGGAGGAGAAAAGTCTGTATGTTTCTCTCTTGTGTCTGTCTCTGCCTCCATCTTTAGCAGTGACTGGGACTCCTCTCTTTATTGTCCCCACTCGTGCCTGGCTACTCATGCTAGGTTCTAGTGATTTCTGGACATTCTACAATTTTTCCTTCAGCCTTAGGAGTGCTATTGCCTTCATTTAAAAGAAAAAATTATGGGTTGCTCCGCTCTCTCTTGTGTACTCCTCATTTTATATGTCCAGTTCCCTGCGTTAAATTCCTACTGTTTAAATACCAAGAATAGTAGTATCTGTTTTCCTAACTGGACCCTGACTAGTGATAAAATCTCTGTGTGTGCATGTATGTGCGCATGTGTGTGGTATAAATCAGTTTGTATAAAATATTAAATAAGCATGTGAGTGTGTGCCTGTGTGTGTGTATTCATGTGGTAGGTATGTAAATGTATATGAAAGGATTATTGAAGGGTAGGTTTTCAAAGGGAGAGTAAAGGGGGGGCTTTAAATTTTCTCTATCTTGTTTATTTTCTTTTCAATTAGTTTTTACAACAAACAACTTTACAAAGTTTAAAACTACAAATTCAAAAAAATTTTTGAATGACTCAGTTTCCTAAGTATCTTGTTTATTTTCTTTTCAATTAGTTTTTACAACAAACAACTTTACAAAGTTTTAAAACTACAAATTCAAAAATTTTTTTGAATGACTCAGTTTCCTAAGTAATTATCTGTCCATCTGGTGGCAACTTTAACGTCTTTAATGTTTTACATAGAGAGAATATTACTATTCTTGCAGTGACTTCTTATCCACACCTCTAGACAATCCCCTTTCTTACGCAATATGAGAAATGTGTATCTACATGGATCAATAAAAATATTTCAGGTTTCATTTTCTTGTGAGAGATTCTATTTTGTTCATTGTGATCCAACAAATAATATTTCCTCAACACTCACACAGGATATGAAATCACTGTATTTCCATCTGATGTCAATACATTCATTCTGCAACTGCTATATCCCATCTTATACAATTCAAAATGAATATGAGGGAAAGTATGAGTATGCTGTGTTGGTGGCCTTGCCATTTTGTTAGTGATTCTTTTTTTTAGTGGTAAAATTTATCAAGTGCTAATTTCCTAAGGAATAAGACAAAATGATGCTCTTAACTTCAGCAACCTGAAGGAAGTGCTATATAATTACATTGTCACCCTAAGATGTTCATAATCCTTTTTAGCCCAAAAGAGTTTGATACTGTAAATAAAAGGAACATCTGTTTTAGTAAAATCCCAGCAATATTCTGGTGATAAGAGTTTAGTGGGTTTATGGAGAAAGAAGTACTTGTTTAAGTGACTTTCATCATGCCACACTGCTTCGATGCTGTTTTTCTTGTCATTCATGATTCCTTTTAAGCACTCCCTGGCAATATTGAGAACTTGAATGGGAGTGCCACCAAACACAGCAGCATGGTAATAAAAATCTCCCATACCAAAAGGTATATATGCTTCTGATAACTCACTTCTTTCATATGGCACCACTGTAGGATCTTCCTTATACCAATAAGCATGTAACTGAGCTACTGACTCCCCCAGAGTCTCCAATCCATATTTCCTTATGAAGATTTGATCCACGTCCATGCAGAAGAGAAAGTCAACTTCATATTGGATATGATCCATAACATGTTCACTAATAACCTTCATGCGCATCATACTGATATCTTGCCATCTCTTCTCTCGCTTAATTTCAAACACTTTGATCGAACGGAGGGGACCCAGCTGTATCCAAGGCATCCTGGAGAAGTCATCTATCAGGACATAAATTATGACTTTATGGCCAACCATAAAAAACTCATCTGCAGATAATACAAATTTCTTCAAGTAGTGGTCAATATATCTGTGAAGCAAATAAGAAATGACTAAGTTCATTGTCGTACATTTTGGTGGAACACATACTACTTAAATTATCCTGGCTGTAGTTTGTCCAAACATGCTAGTAAGCCAACCAAATATTAGATGTACTTCTTGAGTTGTATTTAAGTGGTGTAAAAGCAAGTGAAATCATCCGCCTTTCCTCTCCCTGACGGGGTTCTGTGAATTATAGGAGAGAAGAGGACTTCCTCACTAGGGGGAATGAAACTTGTTGAGATCAGAAAACAGCATAGAGCCCAATGCAAGATGAGAACCAGAGTCTTCAGGGTTATCAGAGAAGAGGGAACTTGCTTTTCAGGTTGTAGGCAAGAAGGTCTTGGGGCATTGCAAGAACAGTGATTGATGTCTGGGGCTTGCTTTATGAGGGGTCAGTTATGCAGAAAAGGTTAGAGGTAGCATGGTCAGCTACCACTATCTGCAACGTCTCTCTTATTTTGCCTCGTGGCCTTTAGTATAGTGCTAAGATTGTAGGATTAGAAAACAAAACTTTCTCTTTTCTGGTCTCTCCACCCAGTGAAAATTCTCAGAATAATAAATGGCCTCAGGTAAATTCAAAAAAGGAAGGGTAATCATACATGCCTCAGCTTCAAATAATGTTTATATAATCATTAAAAATAAGTTCTGAATATTGACCTAAGTTTTAAGAAACATAGCAGATGGAGTCAAGAGAAAACTTTCTAGTTTGGAGTATCTAAAATTATGACAATTTAAATAATTAAAGCAAGATAGATTATGAAAAATATCACTTAAAATATTCTACTGAGTTGGAAACTAGCAACTCAAATCCAAAGAAATACAATTTATCCACATTTTTTATGGTTCGTGCTTTTGTATTACATTTCAGAAATCGTTGCCTCCTCAAAGTAGTGAAAATATGCTCCTATGGGGCGCCTGAGTGGCTCAGTTGGTTAAGCGACTGCCTTCGGCTCAGGTCACGATCCTGGAGTCCCTGGATCGAGTCCCGCATCAGGCTCCCTGCTGCAAGGAGTCTGCTTCTCCCTCTGACCTTCTCGACCCTCCCCTTCTAATGCTCTCTCTCTCTCAAATAAATAAAATCTTTAAAAATATATATATATACTCCTATGTTTTCTTCTAGTTGCTTTATTGTTTTAACTTTCACATTAAGTTGGTTATCCATTTGAATTAATTTTTGTGTATGGCATAATATAGGGCTGTTTTTGTTGTTCTCAGGCTTTGATAGTAATCCTATTGGCTGGGAATGCCTGGGACTCACCTGAACCCTGCTAGTTGTGGTGAGACCCCCACAGACATTTCCCCTACCAGAGCCAATGTTGGCTGGACCAACCCTGGTGGTTCTTATTACACTTGCAAGATGCATCTCAGCAACAACCATCAGAGAACTTTGAAAAAACAAGGTTTATTTCTCACAAGTCCTGGAGGGTACAAGATAAGCGCAGGGTCACAGAGTAAGGTCCTATGTAGGGAGAGAGAAGGGGGGACTTTTGGGGTTCTGCCCTTATCGGGGTGGGGGGCCTAGGGTTTCACAATTTAAAACCCAAGAGCAAGAATGAAAGCACAGGAAGGAAAACGCAGGGTCACTCAAGTGGTCGGTAATGTAGGTTACCCAGGCCTTTCTTTAAAAGGGGAATTTCATGGGAGGGGTGGCCTGACTCTTTACCTAGTTGTTTAGCTAGTGACCACGTCAAGACTGGCAATAGGTTTATTTGAGTTGGATGTCTTTGACATGGAAAAAAAGGTTATTGTCAGGTGCTCTCACTATAATGGAGAACATTTTTTCCTCAATTTTTCAAACACTTTCTATTTTGGAATGGTATTTGATTTACAGAACAGGTGCAAACATATTATAGAGAGTTCCCATATATGCTGTACCCACCTTCCCCTAATGTTAATATCTTAACCATGGTACATTTGTCAAAACTAGGAAATTATCAGTGGTTAAAGACTATAACTGGTTAAAGACTATAACTAAACCACAGATTTTATTTTGATTTCACCAGTTTTTCCCCTCATGGCCTTTTTAGTTTCCAAGCTCCAATCCAGAATACATACTGCATTTTGTCATGATGTCTCCTTAGGCTCCTCCAGTCTGTTCTCAGTTTCTCTCTAGTTTGGGTTTTTCTGATGTTTTCTTAGGTAAAGTTAATTTTAATACAGTCACATTTATCAACCTTTTCCTTTATGATCAGTATTTTCTGTATCTTGATTAAGAACTCCTTTCTTGTCTTGATTTCACGAAGATATACTATGGTTTTCCCTTTAACTTTTGGTCTTCAAACTACCTGGGAATTATGTTTGTATATGCTTGCCATACATATATGCCATAGAGCTACAATTGCGGTGTTCTCATGCGGACATCAACTCTCTCCAGCATCATTTGTGGAAGTCTTTCCCTACAGATCCACAATGTAATAGCCACAGCCATAGTCTTTCACATTTGCATGGGCGTTTGTGTTTTATTATATTGGCTTATTTGTTCATCCCTGTTGCAAATATTCATGTCTAAATGCTCTATATAGATACTTTCAATCTAGGTTTTCAGTCCCACCTACACTCCTAATTTCAGAGGCACTTGATGCCATCAATTACTGAGATTTTCAGGGGTTCTTTAACACACACTAGGGAGTTTTTATGATAAAGTTAATGAGGCTTTGGTTTCAGTGCCCCTTCACTTGCATAGGACTCTTCTAAGACTCACTGTGTTCTACTGAAGGAGGGTGGGAAGGAAGCAGAAGCTCCATCTATGTTCTGAAAGTAGGAACATTGCCCCAGCATGGGGGTCACTCACTGTGCCCACTTACAGATCCTGGGGCAGCAATGGAGAGGGGTCAGAATGGATCTGGGAAAGAGGTACACAGGAACTTCTTCTGTAAGGATTCCTACCTCCCTCCCTCTCTCTCTCTCTCCCTCTCTCCCTCCCTCCTTCCTCCCTTCCTTCCTCTTTCCTTCTGTGTGTTTTTTTTTTTAAGATTTTATTTATTTATTTGAGAGAGAGTGAGAGAGAGAGCATGAGTGGGGGGAGGAACAGAGGGAGGGGGAGAGGCAGACTCCCCACTGAGCAGGGAGCCCGATGTGGGGCTCAATCCCAGGATTCTGGGATCATGACCTGAGCCAAAGGCAGGCACTTAACCGAGCCACCCAGGCACCCCTGTGTTTTTTCTTTTTAAATATAAATTACTATCGGGGCACATGACTGGCTCAGTCAGAAGAGCATGTGACTCTTGATCTTGGGGTTGTGAGTTCAAGCCCCACATTGGGTGTAAAGATTACTAAAAAAAATAAATAAAACTTTTTAAAAAGGGCTATTTAAAAAAAGAATAAATTACTATCAATATCTAATAATGAGTTGCTATAAAGTTGATAAAATTCATTATTTTATTTTTATTTATTTATTTATTTATTTTATTATTATGTTCAGTTGGCCAACATATAGTACATTATTCGTTTTTTTGTTTGTTTGTTTTTTCTCTTCATCTCAGTTAAAGCTCTTTGAATGGCAAATATTAGAAATCCTCTTTTTTTTATTATGTTGTTAATCACCATACATTATATCATTAGTTTTTGATGTAGTGATCCGTGATTCATTGTTTGCATATAACACCCAGTGCTCCATGCAGAACGTGCCGTCTTTAATACCCATCACCAGGCTAACCCATCCTCCCAGCCCCCTCCCCTCTAGAACCCTCAGTTTGTTTTTCAGAGTCCATCGTCTCTCATGGTTCGTCTCCCCCTCCGATTTCCCCCCCTTCATTCTTCCCCTCCTGCTATCTTCTTTTTTTTAAAACATATAATGTATTATTTGCTTCAGAGGTACAGATCTATGATTCAACAGTCTTGCACACTTCACAGAGCTCACCATAGCACATACCCTCCCCAGTGTCCATCACCCAGCCACCCATCCCTCCCACCACCCACCACTCCAGCAACCCTCAGTTTGTTTCCTGGGATTAAGAATGCCTCATATCAGTGAGGTCATATGATACATGTCTTTCTCTGATTGACTTATTTTGCTCAGCATAATACCCTCCAGTTCCATCCACGTCGTTGCAAATGGCAAGATTTCATTCTTTTTGATGGCTGCATAATATTCCATTGTATATGTATACCACATCTTCTTTATCCATTCATCTGTTGATGGACATCTTGGCTCTTTCCACAGTTTGGCTATTGTGGACACTGCTGCTATAAACATCAGGGTGCACGTACCCCTTCGGATCCCTACATTTGTATCTTTGGGGTAAATACCCAGTAGTGCAATTGCTGGATTGTATGGTAGCTCTATTTTCAACTTTTTGAAAAACCTCCATACTGTTTTCCAGAGTGGTTGCACCAGCTTGCATTCCCACCAACAGTGTAGAAGGGTTCCCCTTTCTCTGCATCCCTGCCAACATCTGTCATTTCCTGACTTCTTAATTTTAGCCATTCTGACTGGTGTGAGGTGATAGCTCATTGAGGTTTTGATTTGGATTTCGCTGATGCCGAGCGATGTTGAGTACTTTTTCATGTGTCTGTTGGCCGTTTGGATGTCTTCTTTGGAAAAATGTCTGTTCATGTCTTCTGCCCATTTCTTGATTGGATCATTTGTTCTTTGGGTGTTGAGTTTGATAAGTTCTTTATAGATTTTGGATACTAGCCCTTTATCTGATATGTCATTTGCAAATATCTTCTCCCATTCTGTCAGTTGTCTTTTGGTTTCGTTGACTGTTTCTTTTGCTGTGCAAAAGCTTTTTATCTTGATGAGGTCCCAATAGTTCATTTTTGCCCTTGCTTACCTTGCCTTTGGCGATGTTTCTAGGAAGAAATTGCTGCGGCTGAGGTCGAAGAGGTTGCTGCCTGTGTTCTCCTTTAGGATTTTGATGGACTCCTGTCTCACATTGAGGTCTTTCAACCATTTTGAGTCTATTTTTGTGTGTGGTGTAAGGAAATGGTCCAGTTTCATTCTTCTGCATGTGGCTGTCCAATTTTCCCAACACCACTTGTTGAAGA